TCTTCAAACCTTTCAAAGACCTACAGAATATGGCATTTAAAATGGTTTAGGGTTTTTCTTGATAGTGAGACATAACTGCTCCTGGCAACACCACCTGCATCAGAAAGAAGGACGGACATTAAAGAAACATGTTACGGAGTTTGCCTCCAATATGGCAAGACATTTGGACAAGATACTGCTCTTGTCTGGACTGTTTGACTTTATACTGTATAAACTGGACATGCAGGACCCACAGAAAAGTGACTGCTGATTCAAGATGGACATTGCTACAGAGTTCCTGCTTCATGGAAGTGTCTGCCAGACAGTCTGCAGGACACAGAGAAAAGTGAGTGACAAACTGCCAATACAAGAAGACAGTTTAAAGTTTCCTGCTTTGCTGAAGAGTCTGCCAGACACACTATGGCCTATGGACTGAAGATGGAAGATTACAGAAGAACTTTGGGTGTGACCAAGCAATGAGTTGTCTCTTTCATTTCTAGAGTTTACATATTATCCTTCTGTGGTCTTTGAAGGAGTTGAAGACAGATAGTTATGGTTATAGTTTTCCTTAGTTAGGATTAAAGATAAGTTACATGTAAGACTTTAGACTCACAAACATATAATAGATGATGGAATACTTTCTTAAATCTTGCTAAATATTAATGGACTAAATATTGTCAACTGTGATTCTTATTTAATAACTGTTTTGTTATATATTTTGCTATGCTAAGGTTAAAACCCTTCTTTTTATTTAGACAGAAAAGAGGAGATTATGGGAGATGTCATTCTGTAAATATGTTTCTCATACTGGTTAATGAATAAAGCACTGTGGACCAATAGGAAAGGAATATAGGAGGGACTAGGAGACAAGGAGGAAAGAGGAAGTAGTAAGGAGGAGTCAAGATGGAGAGTCTGGAGAGATCAGGACTCCAGCCCGACTCTCCAGTAAGATGAAAGCACATGGAAATACGTAGATCAACAGAAATGGGTTAATACTTAAGACAGAGCTAGCCGATAAGACACTAGTACCTGGTCAATAGCATTATATCAAATACAGTCTCTGTGTGTTAATTGGGGCTGGTGCAGCGGCAGGACAAGACCAGTGGCAGGTGGAAAAACTTACTCCTTACAGAACACTCTTATACCGCTGGTGGGAGTGCAAACTTGTACAGCCATTTTGGAGATCAGTATGGCAGTTCCTCAGGAAAATGGGAATCAGTCTACCACAGGACCTGGCAATCCCCTTCTTAGGCATATACCCAAATGATCCATATCCGTGCAACAAAGACATATGTTCAACTATGTTCTTAGCAGCATTATTTGTAATAGCAAGAACATGGAGGCAACCTAGATGCCCCTCAACTGAAGAATGGATAAAGAAGATGTGGCACATTTACACAATGGAATACTACTCTGTTGGAAAAAAAAACAAAACAAAACAATGGAATCTTGAAATTCACAGACAAATGGATAGTATTTGAAGAAACTATCCTGAATGAGGTGACCCAGTCACAAAAAGAGAAACATAGTATGTACTCATGGATTTTAGATCTAGAGCAAAGGATCACCAGCCTATAATTCACACCACCAGAGGAACTAGGATTCAAGGAGGAACCTAAGATATTCATACAAGGTCCCTCACAGAAGGGGAAAGGGACAAGATCTCCTGAGCATATTGGGAGTGGAGGGGGACAGTGGGTGGAGAGGTAGCTAGGAGAAAGAGAGGGGGAGGAGAGGAAAGCACGTGGGACTAGGAAGATTGAGTCAGGGGAGGAATAGATGAGGAGGGAGAACGAGAGAGAGAGAGAGAGAGAGAGAGAGAGAGAGAGAGAGAGAGAGAGAGAGCATAGGAAGCCATTATACGTTTGAAGAGAAAACTGACTCTAGAGAAATGTACAGAGACCTACAAGACTGACCCCAACTAACAATCTGAGCAACAGTGGAAAGGCTACCATAAATGCCCTTTCCTGATAATGAGATTGATGACTAACTTATCCACTATCATGGAGCCCTCATCTAGTAGCTGATGGAAACAGAAGCAAAACCCACAGCTAAACACTGAGCCAAACTGGACTCCAGATGCAGAGAGGGAGGACAAGAACAGGCTACAGAAACCCACAGAGACATCTGACCTGAACAACGAGGAGCTATCGGGTCCCTAGATTGATAGCTGGGAATCCAGCATTTGACTGACTCAGACCCCCTGAACATGAGTCTCGGTTAGAAGGCCTGGGCAGTCTAAGGGATCTCTGACAGAGGAACCAGGATGTATCCCTGGTGCACGAAAGGACTTTGGGAGCACATCCCCCATGGAGGGATACTCCCTTAACCTAGAGACAGGAGTGAAGGCCTAGTCCCTACTTCAAATGACTTGACAGATTTAGATGACCCGTCCTGGAAAGCATCACCCTACATGTGAAGTAGGAGTGGGTGGGAGGGGAGGCATGGGAATATGGGAGAGAGAGAGGATTGAGGGAGAGGGAGGGAACTGGGATTGATATGTAAAATAAGAAAAATAAATAAAAAAAATTAAAAAAAAAAACAAAAAAACCCAACTACCAGCCCCATGAGGACACATGTGGGTATAACCAGCAATTCATCATGCTGTGAGAGTACCACTAGAACCACTCTGCTGAGGGGCACATCTGATGGGCAAGGTGAGGCCCATCAGGAGCAGTCGGGGAAGGGAGCCTCACACAGCAGGGCACAAGGAATTCATCCTCTTGACAGGCAGGTTCACCACTGTGGGACAAGCATCAACACCTATTTCCCTGTGGCCAATTAAGGCGAAGGGTTGGGGCCTAATGTTATGGCCATGTCCGAGATGCCCAGAGCTTCCTTGCCCTTGAACTCCCTTCAGACTCTTGGAAATGAGCTCTTGTCCCCACAGAGAGACTCGGGCCTGGTGAGCTTTGTGCAGGTCTTCCAGCCTTCCAGATCTCCAGCCCCAATTATAATATAGTCAGAGCAGAGATTCCAGCAGGGGGATCCTCAGGTCCTTCTAACTTCTGGGTACCCCCTTTCCCATGGACCCTCCCAAGCCATCCATGATACCTAAATGTGAACCAAGAGCCACCTGCATACTTTATCACTCATAAGGACCATGACCCCCTACTACCATCCAACATGCAAGCTGGGAGCCACTAACCTAGTCTTCTCATCACAGCTAGCTTCCGTCTCAGCACCCAGGCTCCATCCCCTCAGGTAAAGAAGAGCAAATGCATGCTGAGATGGCCAGGGATCTGCACAAACCCTAGACCAAGAGATCATAATTGTACCAGGCCCCAAGACAGCATAGATTCTGGGAAGGGGAAATATCATCACCCAGCTCCAGCTCCAGCCCCAAATGCCTTAGAGTAGCCTATTTTCTTTAGAGTTTAGTAGCCCTTGTGGTCCCAAATAGCAATCTTTGTCTCATTCGGCTGTACTATACCCTAAACCCTTTACCTGCATCTGGCACTGTTAATCAGTTTTCTGCTCCCATCACCCCTTTCCTTAGGGACAACCTCCTCCTAGGTTCTTCTGCCTATCCCCCAGGGTCGCTGCACCCCAAAAGTGTCTACGCACAGTTGAATCTGGGCAATGCTGGCTACTCTTAAGACAGGAACCAGTGTCAGGTTAAGAAGCATCCCAAGTTCCTATTCTAGCCAAGCCTTCTAGGCCAAATCCCTTTCCCTAAGCTCAGCTTGTCCTCTGAGAAACTCCTCCTAAGGTCCAAATGTTCTGCTCCTCCTCAACCAGCAGCTTCACCATCTGTCCAGGCACCAGTTACCTGTAAGAGCAGGTGACTAGGGTTTTCTACTCCTGGTACTCGCTGTTGCTACCAGGCTTTCCCCTACCTGGGCCTGTATTTCCTCCACCCACCTGCCCTGCTGATCAGTTCAGACCCTCTTCCCACACACACATCTTCCACTTGCCACTCCTCACGTCAACCCACCCAGCATGCAGCTGCTCTGGCTCCTTCTCCAAACACTGAGTTGATAAGAGGCTCCCCTACACTTGGGTGGCCCCAGTCTCCTGGGTAAAGCCCCTACCCCTCAGAACTCTTGCTCACCTCTAGCCTCCACTGTCCGCATCCATCCACATTCCTTCAAGGCTCCTGCAGTCCCTGCTGCAGCTGTATCGCCTGACCTCCCCCTGAAGGGAGCGAGTGTACCTCCCAGCTTTGCACCTGTTGGACCCACAGCACGACCTTTCCACCCATCCTCACCCCACTGGAACTTCCTTCTTTCTTCTCCAATCAAGATTTGGAAACTTCATGCTGAAGGATGGTCATAAGCAGCAGCCTTCCACCTGCACATCGGGGATCCCTGGGGATGTCTCTATGGTAGAATGGATGCTCTGCCAGCTAAGACTATAGCCTCCCAAGGGAAGGACTAGATTGTGTGTTGCACTCCTTGCCCCAGCACAGAACACAATGTTACAGGTTTTTGAAGGCCTTCAAAAACACTTTCTGGGAAAGCAGATGGCTGGGTGGAGTGTGGATGCCTTTGAAGAACCTGTGGTGTCTAATAATTGAGAAGGCCGCCTCTCCCTCACCCACCCCCTCTGTAAAGAAGGTTTCCCTCTATCTCTCCACTCAAGGAATTGGGTACAGACCCAGCTTCATGACCCCTTTCTTGGCATCCTCATTGGATAACTCTCTCACAGCTCCTACAAGTTTTTTAGGCACATGGTAAACTATTTTTCCACTAATCCCAATTTCTCCAAGTTGTCTCATCATTATCAGAGAAGGGGCTGACTCTCCCTTCAATGTTACTGTCAGTTGCAATAGGTCTTCCATGTATGATCTTGAAAGTGTGGTCATGAGCATTCCCATCACTGAGCAAACATGTGCATTTAAAAACATCACAGCAGGTAGAATCCAAATCTGACCTTCTTCCATTCACTGTATCTACTCTCAGGGTCACAGACTGTGGTCCCAAACCAGCTGCCACCTTGCCTCAGGAGATAAGGGTACCATACCTCCCTCCAGGAGGAAATCTGTATCCACCCATGGCAAGACCCTGTTATAGACTCACCATGTTCATGACAGTGAGGATGAACCTCTGTGCAGCCTCTGCCCCGTGGTACTGCACCATGTCGGCATCGGCCACCACCAGGGTCTCCACAGTGTGCTCATTGGTGAGCCTGATGGCATTCCTCCGCTCCCTCCAGTCCCGCGATGGCTTGTCCTTCTTAGGTTTCTTTTCTAGAAAATGATGGAGACATTTGTGCAGTTCTTGGCTTATTGATTTATGAAAGCATACCATGAAAGGCCCCAAGAGAATGGGTCAATCTCAAGTGGCCTGGAATGAACCCCCAAGCTTTCAGATCTCCTTGGTTACAGTGGTGGCCTATGTTCCCAGCCACTGGTGGCACCAGATAGGAGCCAGAGAAAGAGCTTGAGGGACCGGGCATCAAATGAAACTCTAGCTTGTTCATCCTTACAGTCAAGGAGGTACTTGAGGATGAAAATAGAAACCTGTTCCTAATACTGAAAATGGAGAGCCACACACAGCAAGTAGGGAGAGAAGCCTGCACCCAGAAATGAGGGATATGGGGGCTCTTCAGGGTGATGACACAGGCATGTGTGACAGGTACTCCCACTTTCCTAATGACATCTGGGATCAAGGCAATGGATTTGTTGAGGCTGGGATAATCCCTTGTGAGATAAGCATCCCAGCAACTGTGCTGAGAATTAAGAAGGGGCCATAAAAATCAGCAGGTATAGAAGCATCAGAAAAGTATAAGATTATAACACACACCCAGACTATTCATTTGCTTTTTCCTCAAAACAAGGAAGGGTAACTAGTAAATGTGTGGGATTCCTCTACTGAACTTTTCAGGTAAATTGCTCCTCCATGCAATCTTACTTAGACAAACATCTATTGTCACTCACAGAGCCCACCTCTGAAGGTGGAAGGCTGCTGAGTGAGGGCTGACAAGGCCTCTGTATGTGGTAATGACTCTGCCTGGCACAACAGGCAGATATGAATGGAGTGCACCCTTGGAATCCAAATGTGAAAAGCAATTTGATACTTCCTATTTCCATCTTAGCAGTGGTTTACACAGAAAGGATTCTGTAACATTGTTCACACAGTAAAACACCACTTCTGTACCGAGTCTTCATCAAGGTGACCTATCTTCATTCCAGAAGCAAAAGCAAATATCATGAACATGCTGGATCTCTGGGTGGGGTTTTGTAAACAGTATTGCTGCTCAACGTATTCTACAATCTTGAGAACCTGGGAAGCCATCAAAATCCCCAACTGTAGAGAAAGCTGCCAAGGTTAAGAAGAATTCAACCTTGAAAATCAGGTCTAGGGAGACCCTGTAATGTGGAGAGACAGCTATAATCCTTATACACGGTTGGGTCCCAAATTTACAGAAACACAATATGAACAAGTACTCTCAAGGAAATGAATAAGTAAATGAGCAAGCAAACACTAACACGTTAATATGAGTGACACGCAACTTGCATTTTCTGTTCTTCCTCAGCACGCTCTATACCTGTACAATGACAAAGGAGTGATTTAGCTATCCTCTTATTCAAAAACAAAATCTGAACTTGTAAAAAACTACAGAAACCACTTTTAAACTCTAAATGATAAAAACAGAAGGCATCTGGAAGCAAAATATATCACCAGACTCATCCTAAATTTGTAAAATGTAAGACAAGGCTATCTCCTCACGCCACAGAATGTTCCAGCCTTCTGAGCCTCACAGGAGAACAGGAACAGGACAAAGGCCCCTAGCTGGAAATCTAGAGACTCATACCCACATTCTCCAACACTAGAAATGCATAGCAAAATGGTGCCCATTCTCTGGTCTCCCCACCCTTATAAACCCAAGTAGTTTGGGTATGAGCAAACTGTCTGACAAGGGATATGTAAAGAATCACTCTGTTTCGTTTTAAAGCAACAGAGTTGAGGGACAACCTTCCCAAAGAAGAGTTTTGTTGGAACCTGCGTGCCAACCTTCGCCCAGGTGAACAGCCACAGCTCACAGGTGGCCTTAGCTTGTCTTAATGCCTACTCAGAATTCATCTCTGGACACTGCCATCTGCAGGTGTTCTCGCCTGCAGATGTTCCCACTGGCTGTGCACACTTGTTTTTCCACTTTGTCATAGCACAGGAAAGACCTGCATTTTGAAGCCAGTCCTAACAGATGCATTAAAATGCCATTCTAAGAGTCTGAACTATGAGTCTGCAGAGCCCAGATGTGGCCTGCCACCACCCGACAGGAGGAGCAGATGCACCCTGGACATTTAACACTGGGTGTCAGCCTTCCCAGTCTACCCTCCAGAACTAATAATAACACCGGCCTCTCTCTCTCCATAATGAATCTGACAAACTATGTAATATGATAGTATGTGTTAGACATAGTACTACAACCTGTAGACCCAGTTACTTGGGAGTCTTGAGACAAGAGGACTGCTTCAGTTCGGAAGTTCAGGACCATCCTGAGCAGCAAGCTCTAAACAAAACCAGAGGCATGAAAAGCAGAGAGTGAACATGGACCCTGGGGGCATCAGGAAGCAGGTGAAATACCATGATCCGGGCTCTGTGGTCTGAAAGGGTTTTCACTCTGGATGTCACATTTGCTCCTCCTATTGTTAAAGTTCCCTGTAGCATCCTTGGCGGGAAATCCTGAACAAACTCATGCAAGGAACAAATGAAGATTCTCACTTAATGACAGCCCCACACTTTAGTACAGGCCAGGCCTTATCACAAAATGAGTGTCAAAAACTCTGGTTTTGTTCTTGCTTGGGGTTTGTTTTAGTTTTGTTTTCTATTTCAGCTTTTCCATTTTTTCTTTATTATTTGGCATTTTTTTGTAATCAGTGCACAATATTGTCTAAATATTTACATAGCATATTAATTTGGTACTTGCATAAAGTATGCAATGATTAAATCAAGGCAATTAACATTTCCCCTTCCTTAACATTTATCATTTCCATCTGCAGGAAGCCTTGGGATCCTTCTTCAATAGTTACCTTTAGAAATAAATCATAAATTACTACAGATCATAGTTGCCTTACTAAGTAACAGAAGACCACAACTAGGCCATGGGCCTGCTGGATCATGCTTGTGACCCCAATACTCAGGAGGTTGAAGCAAAAGAGTCACAAGTTCAAGACCAGCCCTGGCTACACAGTAAGATCCTATCTCAAAAACAAGAGAACTTCAGAACCAGTTTCTCCTACCAAGTTGCACATGAGTGCAATTATCTAACCCCTCCACCTCTCTGTTTCTCTATTCCAGTACTTCTCAACCTTCTTAATGCTTCGTCCCTTTAATACAGTTCCTCATGTGTATTAAACCCCAACCATAAAATTATGTTGGGGTGACACCAACCATAAAATTATTTTGTCGTTACTTCCTAACTATAATTTTGCTACTGTTATGAATCATAATATAGATATCTGATATATAGGATATCTGACATGCAACCCCTGTGAAAAAGTCATTCAACACTCCCAAAGGGGTCATGACCCACAGGTTGAGAACCACTGCTCTATTCAGTCTTCACAAACCTGGATTTGGGGACTCGAATTGTCTTCCCATGCAGGTGTCCCTCTTGGGGGTGGGGATGGGTGGAAGCCCTTGGGAGGGGGCCTTCCTTCCCTCCACTCTTATTACCTCCCCCTCCAATAGTGCTCATGGGGGCTACTGCACTGAGGAGAGAGCCTCAACACATGTTATCTTCAACTTCCTACAGGACATAAATATACCCACGTGGAGAGAGCACAGATACCACCATGCTCACCAGCACCTTCAAGGCAAAAGACACGCAAGTCTTAGGACCACACAGTGCTGTTTTCCATCACTGGAGAGATCAGTGACTAGATGGGGGGTGTCCCCAAGCTCTGCTGCCAAGCCACTGTGGGAGGGGGGGGCCCTACACTGCCAACCAGAACACACCCTAGCCAGGTTGGTCCCTGGCTCTCCACTGTTACCCAGGACACGAGGAGTCATTTCTAAAGCCAAGCCTGCTGCTTCCTTTCTCAGCACATTGCTGGGCTGCTAATCACCTGGAGATCTTAAATAACTACTCCCACTTTCATTTTGCATTTATTCTCCCTTTACTCCAATTAACCATGGAAGCAGACAATTTGAAAGACTTATAGAAGACACTAGGTTTTTAAGGATAAGACAAAGAAGAGGGGAAAAAGAAAACCTATGAAGCTATGAAGGGCAGTCTAAACGTTGGACTTTTACAAAATTTAAACAACAATTTGGTCTATAAGTTGGAGAACTGTCAAAAGTGCTCACACAAATGGAGACTGGGGAGGCGGCGCACGTGCTCTGACAAAGCACATGCAGTGAAAGCCTGAGTTTGAGCCCCCAAAACTATGCAAAAAAGCTAGGCACGGGAATAACCTGTAGCCAGGCCCATGGAGATGGGCTAGACAGGACAATTCACTGGGGCTTGCTAGCTACCAGCCCACTTCCAGGTTCAGTGAGTGACCATGTCCCAAGGAAATAGGTGGAGAATAAAAGAACAGGGCACCTTATGACCTGCTCTGGCCTCTGCACACACAGACACCTACATCAGCACATGCATGTACACACACACACCACACAGTACACATTTACCACTTTCATGCATACAAATGCACACATTAAAAATACATAATGGGGATCAGATGGTGGTGGCTCATGCCTTTAATCCAGCACTGGGGAGGCCAAGTGGATCTAAGTTTGAGTCCAGCCTGTTCTACACAGTGAGTTCCAAGACAGACAGAGGTGTTACAGAGAAACCCTGTCTCAAAAAAAAAAAAAAAAAAAAAAAAAAAAAAAAAAACAAGATAAAACAAAGCACAAATGATTGTATAGCTACTACTAATTTGCTCTTGCTTAAAGCTCTGGGTTTTATCTCCAGCTTCAAAAAAAAAAAAGTATTTAAGCAATCCCTGGGGTAAACAGATAAAAAAAAAAAAATAAAAATATTGGACTGAAATCTCTCCTTGAATTCCTCTAGCTCTTGCTGTGCTAGACCCTAGTGTCCTAAAGTCATTTCCAGAGATGGTCTCAATGTACTCTTTGTGCCCAGGCACAGGAAGAGCATGTCTTTCTCCATCACAGAAGCAAATTAGATGACAGAGAAAAACAGAATGGAGGAAATAAGGGAAGATGTCCAAGGACATTGGTCAACCTTGAGAGGACAGGCACTTCAGGCCATGGTGGCAATAATTAGTGGCACTAA